TCAGGGTCAGCTGTCGTTCGAGAGGGCAGTCGCTCGACACCTTCACGCCCAGCAGTCGTCTGGCGTCCCTGGTCAGCTTGTCGGCGTCGCTTTGACGGGCTTCTACGACGAGGCGATCTACTGGTCGGCCAGGGTCCTTCAGGAGATGGATGCCCTTCAGTGGTCGGAGCCCTTGAAGGGTTTGGGCATCCCTAGCGACTATGCGCTCCTGGTTGACCCTGTCAACATGGATTCAGGTGCCTTCAGCCGTCAGTATAGTCTGGCTGTCGTCGCCCTGTGTCTATGCTCTGCGTCCGGCAGTCTTGTGGGGCCAATGGTCGGCGCAGAGATACTGCCGTTTGGTGGGCACAATTACGAGCCCCTGCAGTCGCTCATCCAGAAGATCCTGGAGTCGCACCCAGCTGGTTTGGGCCTGCAGTCGCTTCGGAGTCGTTGTGCCTGCGTCGGAGGAGATGGACAGATCGTTCGAGGTGGCTCGGCCGCTGTCCATGGATCCTCCGGCGTCGCAGAGCGCATATGGCAGTGCATCCACGAGGACGGCGTCAGTGGTCTATTTTTAGAGTGGGAGGCGACGGCGTGGGACAGGTTCCATGTTGTGGATACTTGCTTGTCCAGGGCGGTTCGTTCCAGCCCGTCAGCGTCGGAGATCTTAAAGATCGTCGCCGAGCTGGACTCCCTCTTCGGCATCGGAGAAGGCAAGGTCCTTTTCGAGAGCATCGCCAACAGGGTCGGCATTCCCTTCGTCAAGCTTCCGACCTTGAGTGGGACCCGAAAGATGGTGTACCTGCGTCTGAGCCTCGTCAAGAACTTCAAGCTCATAGTGCTTTGCTTGCACGCCCGGATCTTCTGGAGGCACGAAGGCAAGGGCTCGGCCACTTTGGACCGTCTGTTGTCTGTCAGCCGCCGAGTGACAGACATCAGCTTCGTTTCTCGGCTAGTTGAGCGATCCGCTTGTGACGTGCGAGAAACAAATATGTGCAAACGTTCACTTATTCAATATTATTGAAGGGGGGCCGATCTAGTTTGAGTTCTATGCGCACAAATCCACGGGGTACAATATCGCTGCACGAGGTCTCGTTTCTGGTGCCTTTCGAAGTGCTGATGGAGGAGGCAGTGTCGCCCTACGTCCTCATCTCTCAGAAGCTGACAGAGCCTCGAGCCGCGAGAACTTCGGGCCAGGACATGCTGAAAAAACTGCAGTCGTTCGGTGTCGCCCTGGACTTCTTGTCGGTTTTTCTCAGCGTCCTCTGCTTGTTGCGTCAGCACATCGGCGTCGTGGATTTGTCGAATTATGCCAGGGCGATGTTCACCTGGCCGGCTTTGCGTCCGTGGCGCCTGCTGCTGCCACGGCTGATGCCCGTGATCTTCGATAACAAGCCGAGCTTTGGAGGCTGTCAGCTTGCCCGGCCTTTCGAAAGCGATCCAACAAACATTACTTTGGGACCGCGCTGTCAATGTGGCCTGAGAGCCAAATACATGCGAGGGCGTGGCCAGGAAGCTGCAGCGTCGAACATGATGTCTTGGAAGTTGACTTTACCTGTCGCTGCTGCGACAGGACGTCGCCGGCCGACGCAGCGGTCAGTCACGTCGGCCTGAGTTCTGAGGATGTTGTTGCTTATTGCCTCTGAGGCCCTTTACCTAGGTTTGTTTGATGGGCGACCATCCTCTGAGGTGAGACTGCAGGTGCCCCTCTGGACCAATGCAAGATTGGATGCCAACTGGCCTTACCACATGCCTCGATACCAGGTGTTTTCGCACGAAGAAGCAAGCCAACAACGAGGTGCTGCCAACATCTTCAGGGTCCATCTTCGTGATCGCGGCGCCCTTTCTTGCCGGCATACTCCCCAAGATGGCTTGCTGCTGTGGCGCCGCAGCGGTGCTTGCCCTTGCACATGGACATCCAGATGCAAGGTTCCATTGGGTGTCTATGAGTCTCATCGCTACATCCTGGAGGGCTTGGAGGCAATGCGTCGGTTTGTCATCGCCTGCGTCAGTCAGCTGTCGGAAGGCCTGACAAACAAGGCCTACAATGCCGACATGCTGCAAGTCCTGGACTCCTGCGATGAATGCTTCGATTGGGGCTTCCTCTGCTTCCAGCGTCCTCTCAGGCGTCATGCGGACGCCTGGCGAAGGGTCCTGGGCCTCTTGAAGCCCTTCTTGCAGCATTCGCTTTGGCCAGCAATGTCAGCGTCTGACTACGCCAAGGTCGAGAGGACATGGGAGCTGCCAGACGCGGCTCTGCTGTTTCAATATGGTTTGCTCGTTGAGAGGGTTCGATGCGTGGCTTCCTTAGCATTCCGGCGTCTGAGCTGGAGAGCAACCTTTGACTCCACCGGCAGCAACGTGAAGACGGCTCCGGAGGAGGTTGTGCGGGCTGCGGCGGCAGAATGGTTCAGTCTGCCGTCCGTCAGCGTCAGGCCGCTCTTTGTGCTGCACAGCATCGAGTCGGCGGTCGGGAAGAAGCTGCGTAGTCTCTACATCAGCGTCGTGTCGCTGAAGAAGATTGCTTGGACCATCTCTCTTTTCTGTGGATCAGTGGCTGCCTCCACTTTGCCGACTTCAGCTTACCAGGTCTTCCAGCTGTCGCCCTCCCGCCGTGTGCTCAGTGGTGTTCAGTTGCTGTGTCAGATTCAAGGATTTGTGGCATCAGACGCTGCGTGCAAGGTTTGGGTCCTGTCGGGGGCATGCGAGGGAAGCGCAAGCGTGAAGTCCTCGATCAGCACCTCCTGGCGGTGGGCTGCGTCGCGACCATCTGTGCAGGATCCAACTGTGGCAAGCTTGTCGTTGTCGAGAGCCTGGATTCTGGGCACGCCTATCTATCTTCATAATAAAAGGCTAAAATACTTAAATTGAGAAGTATCTAACACGTAATTAATTATTAATATGATAAGTCTTGGGCTCAGGAGTTTGCAGTGAATTCTGCAGCTGT